TGGTATATTGATATGAACACCACCACAGTTACAAGAAATGACCATTCATAATCAACAAATTAACTCTCTAATGTGTGATTTTACGCAGATGACACAATGCTTAATGTTGTTGTCTGTGCCCTGGTATAACCCTGTTTCACCTATCACTTCTCAGCTCATTAACTTGTTTGACATGCAAATAAAACTGAATACATAGTCCATTCATACACACGTCTGCTTCTTCCCCATCCAGCCTGTCATTAAAACTTTCAGCCGTACCCATAACGCTCTTTCTGACTTATGGAAACACTTTGTGGAACTTGGTTTAACAGTTCACTGTTACTCAAGTTTAACATTAAAAACTGAAACAATCAAACTGTATACAGACACAAAGGATGTATTTTCTCAATATTAAATAAGTTGTTCAGTCTAGGTTTATATCTGTGCTTGACTGTCATGCTGCTCCAACATCACTCAGCCATAAACTCTTGTGCTTTATTGCAAATGTCAAATTTTGTACTGATAATTTATTTCTGTATCGTTAAAGGAAATACTTTCTTAAGCTTCTTAACTCTGCCAAAGCTTCCGAACTACAGTACCTCAAACTATCTCTTCTTTCATTTAAATCTTGTAACTGCAGCACTAATTTTAGACACCCTGCATGTATACACTAAATATGGCAGAGCTGGTGCTACACACCTTTTAGATGGAATGAGCAACAAACAGCATCAAGACAGTTTTAATTTCCCTTGAGACATTAAAACTTTATTATCTGACAGCTTCTTTGTTTGTGTTTATTCCCTCTTATTGTCATGTTATTGTTAGGTGTCTGACTTTATATTTGTTGCTTCTTGTATGCCACATCGTGTGGTTGTCTGTAACAGTTTTTTGTTTTTTTGCTGGGTCTCTATTGAAAATGAGATCTTGATTTCAGTGACACTAACTGTAACTAAAGAAAAGTGACATTCGCAGGTGGTGAAGGTTTCAAAGACTCATTCTTCACAGAATTTACACCAGCTTGTTTGCACTGTAAAATCTATACAATCTCTGCTTTGGAAACATTGTTTCCCATGAACTCTTCTGTCAATCATGTCGTTGAACTGTGAGTCAATAAAGAGAGAGAGAGTGAGAGAGAGAGAGAGAGGTGGGAGCAAACAAGGAAATGTGAGTGGGTAGAGACATGATTGTAAATGCTGATGTGCTGCACATGTAGCGATCCAAGGTTGAAGTTAGATGAAGAAATATCACAAGAAAGCTATATAGGGCGTTCACACACACACAAAAGTCTCTACCTTTGTATCGACCACATATACAGAAAACCTACATGCACACACCTCCTCTCTGTGACTATTCATATTTAAAGAGTCAGTCTTTTAAGTGAACACCGCATGAAATAGAAGAGCATAACACACACATGCAGGCAGGTATTCACTCAAAAGAGCTGGAGCTGTGTTAACACTGCAGCTTGCTTTAATGTGAGTTCAGATGTAATGATGATACATGTTGCCACACTAAAATAAATCCATATAGATTCAGAATTTGACACTGGCTTTTATCAGGTTTACATTTCTATGGATACATGAGAAGAAACTGATCACTTGTATTAATATTGGGGAGTGATCTGAGCGCCTGCTGAAAAAGTCACTTAAGACATCTGGATCCAAGGAGTGTCGACAGAGCAGGAGTGAAAGTGAAGGGAGGAGGAGGGAGGGAATAAATTAGAGGAGTGATTTGCAGCGCCTCAGGTCTTGGATCCCCCACCCTCCCAACTTCTTCACCTCCTCTCTCTTTCTCTCCTTCTCTCTTCCCAGCCAGAGGAAAACTCCTCCATTCCCTGCATTCCTCCAACATTCCTGCTCTGGGTTTACCTCCTCTACCTCTCCCTCTGCATCAACATCATCCCCTCCTCCTCCCCTTGCCCATGGCTGTCCGTCTGTCTGCCTCCACCTCCTTCTCTCTATCCCTCCTTCTCTCTTGAGCTTCCTCTCTCTTTCTCTCTCTCTCTTCATATCAACCCCCCCTGGCCCCCCTCCCTCTCTCTTTCCCAGCATGCTCCAGTAGGCCGGCAGAGGCAGGGGGCTCGCCTGAACCCCCCACCCCCAGCAGGGGCCCTCCAGCTCAGCCTGGCTGGCTAGCAGGCTCCATGGCACACCTCCAGCACACACACAAACACACACACACGCATTGGCCTCCTCTGTCTTCTTTCTATCAGCCTCTCTCTTGCCTTCAGTGACTGTCTTTTCAAACATTACTTTTTTCTTAATTTTTCTCTTCTATCACTTCAGTCTAAATTTAGAGACTCTCCTGTGTATCTCTGCTGTTCATATTGGTCATTTAGTGCCACAGGATTGTCCTGAAATGGGACAAATCTCCTGCAAGAAGACCTGAATACTCTCTTAATGACTTACATCTACTAGCACTACTATGACCGATACAAAGTTAAATACATATTGCCAGGCCAGCTGACAGTCTTACCTGGGCCCAAGACGAGATAATCTTGTATTGACCCAGTAACATGTCTATAAATCTGACTTGAAGTTGGAAAACAACACCCCCACTCCACATCCCACGTTCACACCCATAACACAACCAGGTGAGATGTAATCCCACCTTGAACAAGATGTGTTAAAGGAGCTAGTAACAGTTTCTGTTTCAGGTTGCCAGCAACATGATGCTACCACAGAGGGATTTTAAAAAACTAGGTAGGAAAAGATGAAACCATCACATGTACTATATACATGAAGCATTAAAGAGCATCAGACAGTGCTGTGTTATGGCACAGAAACCTGATTTCAACTGCATGTGACTGTTTCTGTAACTTTCTGAAACCAACAATCACATATGTGAGAATATCTAAATAGAAGCACAGACACAAAATGGCACAGCACTAGTTATGCATATTACATAACTTATATTAACAGTGAGACATGGTGGTAGCTCTTCTACTATATATATGAGAGAAAAGTGACACGGCCTCTTTCAAAGAGTGTCCCTCCAACACACAATGAAACAGAGAGAATACGGACTACAGGATATTTTAGGTGCAACAGTCTGATTCTTCAATAGATGAACTGAGGAATTCACATTTCTTTTTCTGACAAAACTACAAAAATGATTGTTAGAAACATGGAGAATAACAGAGAGAGAGAGAGAGAGAGAGAGAGAAAGAGGCCCTCAGTAATTTGGTATTTCCTTTTTAGACATGGGAGGAAGGGCCAGTGCCCTCGTTTGCACCATGAAACACACACACACACACACACACACACACACACACACACACACACACCCAGCAGCTCTTTTAATGACCCTTACATCCGGCCTTAGGCACAGAGGCCTAAGAGTCAGAAGAGAGAGGGAGAGAAATAAGATAGATAGAATAATAAGATAGATAGGTAGGTAGATAGATAGATAGATAGATAGATAGATAGATAGATAGACAGATAGATAGATAGATAGATAGAGTCATTCAGAGAGTATTAGGTGGGAGTTGAGCTGTTAGTTGAGACAGGTATGCACAAAAGGACTAAAGGCCAGAGGTGAGAGTTCATAGCCCTGACACACACACACACACACATGCACACACAAAAGCTATGGGAGTTCAACTGAAGGTTAGACCTTCAGGCTCCTGAGCTCAAAGAGAGAGAGACAGAGAGAGAGAATTCATAAGCAGCTGATTCAGCGTGCCACTGACTGATGTGATTACTGCAGAGGAGAAAAGAAAGGAAGAGGAAATTTTCATGAACGTGGATAATTTCAAGAATAAGGGGAACGACATGAAAAGACGAGAGAGATGGGGGTGTAAAATTTGGTAGTTTAGGGGATAGATTTTTGACAAAGGTAGTGAGTGAGTGATAATGGCTCTTTTACAACTGAAGCAGCAGCTGAAGATGTTACTGTGTCTCCATTCTGTCTTCTCTGTCTCTCTGTCTCTCTCTCTCACACACACACAGGCCCTGACCCTGCTCATGGCAGCTGTTGACGTCACTCTGTGCCCCATTCAGAGCTGCAAACTCTCTCTCACTCACACACACACACACACACACACTGAATAAACAGGATTACACAGACAACACACACAAGTCTTGATAAATCCTTCTCAAAACCTAAAACAACCCCGTCACATAATCCACTCATTGTCCACAATTAAACAATCTAAATCATTCAGAACCACAATCAGGGACAGTGACGTCAGACTGATGGTAAAGTAACAGACTGTAGAGACAACAGGACACACTGCACTTGATAAACTTTTACAACACATTCCTCTCCTTTGTCCTGCACTCAACCTTTACCCATGTGATTATCTCTTAATGTGAACCAAACTGACATCATAATCCAAGATCACACTCCTACTAGTTAGCTATTACAGTAAGATCTGAATGTCTGCTTGAATTATAATGGCCAACTTCTTTATTTGTGTTTTTTCTTCTCATCCGACAGAGGAGAGTTGATTCCTCTATCCTAACACTCCACAACATGCTCACTTAACTGAGGGGGCTGTGACCACATAACCCATGCTTTCTAAAAGCTGCTTCGCCCAACGTGGGGCTCGAACCCACGACCCTGAGATTAAGAGTCTCATGCTCTACCGACTGAGCTAGCCGGGCCTGGACCCTTAACTTTTGTATCATGTTACTGACTGCAACCATAGGCATGAAGGGGCCCATCCTGTGCAGTTAGTAATGTCATCAGGACGTTCCTTGGTGAGGACATCTCCAGGCTCTCAGAATGGCTGAGCAGTCAGGTAAGGTACCAGACCCCAGGTTGACTCCCTCCTGGTGGTCTCAAAATGGTGGCATGGGTTCAAATTCCTCTCCTGGCAGAAGTTGATTTTCTTTTCAGCAAACACATGGTTCAAAAGGCTTCATTTGGCTGAAGAAATAACTACACTAACTGGACTGCACATGTGAGCTGTGATAAATATGTCATACTGAACAGGTTATTCAAGGAATAAAAACAGTTTTCCACCTTGTATGAGTTTTGAAGGGGTGTCAGTTGCTGAAGTCCGACTGAGTTGGACCGTCAGGATGGCTGAGTGGTGGAAGGCACCAGATTCAAGGTTGATATTTTCCAGATTCAAGGGTTCCTCCTTCCTGAGCAAAGGCACTTCTTCTCTCCAAATGGAGGCATGGGTTCAAATCCCACTCCTGAGAGAGCTTTTACTCTGCAAGGGAGGGAGCTTTTTCTTCCCTAACAAATTTACTGAGTGTATTCACATGTTAAGTCTTTGGCCATCCATTGCTTGCAAGTTTTTCAGTCTATCTTGAAGACATTGCTGATCCACAAGCATGCATACATCAGTCAACTGGGACAAAGAGACTGTTGCCCACCATTGCTTGCAATATTTGCATTGGACATAGCAGGTGACAAAGTGGTTAGGCCAAGAATAGTTGGTGCAGCAGGTGACATAGCACAGAAGCAGGTAGCCCGGCTAGCTCAGTCGGTAGAGCATGAGACTCTTAATCTCAGGGTCGTGGGTTCGAGCCCCACGTTGGGCGATCAAGAGTTTTAAGAGGTTGACATTGGGTATCACAGTCCTAAAACTAGTCTACAGTAGTATCTTCATCTCAGTTGCTTAACTGACTTCAGTGTTGCCAGTGAAAAGAGCTACATTACAGACTGGGCCACTTCGCACCGGCCCTGCATCATTGGAACACATTCTTAAGAAATGGCCCAGTCTGTGAGTGTTTTAACTACTGGTTGAGCTATATTAAGACAAATTACTAGACTGAAGGTAAAGGTTGCACAGTGTTTTTTTTTTTTTTTTTTGCCAATGGATGTGTTACCATGTTGAGGGCTTGGTTTCCCTTGGTCTTAAAAACCTTTTCGCCCAACGTGGGGCTCGAACCCACGACCCTGAGATTAAGAGTCTCATGCTCTACCGACTGAGCTAGCCGGGCTACAAAATACTATGAAGTCACATATCCTCACGACAAACAGATTTACAGACACGTACCGATGTTTAAGGTGGTATATTAGAGTGGTTTCAGGACTTAGTGTTTCATCTTGGTGTTAAATATGAAACTTGAATAAATTAGAAGTAACAAATTCTATCGATAATGCACAACACTTTCGATGAGATGGTTAGTGATGAAACCTGGATGTAAAAACTCTGTCAGGAGTGGGATTTGAACCCACGCCTCCATTGGGAGACCAGAAGTCCCTTTCCTCAGGAAGGAATCAACCTTGAGTCTGGCGCCTTAGACCGCTCGGCCATCCTGACATGTGATAAGTTATGACTCTATTAGTAGGCAAACCATGACAGGTTTAACCATGGATGAAGCATGATGGAAAATATACAGTATAATGTGACTTTTGATATGCAAATTCTATTCACTATAGAGCAGACCCTTTAGAGTTAATGTCCTCCAGTGTATGCTCCTGCCAGAGGTCAAGTTCAGGTAGAGTAGAGTAGTTTCCAATTGAGGTTACTTCTGTCCTTGTGTTTGTCATCCACTTTTAAAAGCAAGCCCACCCATTACAAAGCTTGAGCCAGATTAAGTGTCATGCCTGAAAGTAGTTTATGTCCCGTGTTTAGTCAAAGCATTCAAGATAATGCACATAAAAGTGTCAAGTGTTCTACTGACTGACCTGGCTGGGCAATAACTTAATGCACATACATATTCAGTGAGTTTGTTAAATATGAAACCTGAAGGTTAAAAAGATGTCAGGAGTGGGATTTGAACCCACGCCTCCATTTGGAGACCAGAAGTCCCATTGCTCAGGAAGGAGTGAACCTTGAGTCTGGCGCCTTAGACCACTCGGCCATCCTGACAAGTGAGGACCTGGACCCACCAGTGTGAGTCTGGACTTTGCCCCCCACCTCCAATATGTACAGACTGCATCATCTTCCATTGCAACTGGCGGGGAGTTTCTATCACACAACAGAATGAATGGACACAACAACGAAGGGCTGGACAGATGGACCGGTGAACAGACAGATAGCTGAGGGAAGGATGGATGGACGATGGAGGAGGGGGGCGATTGACGTCTTTGATCCTCCCAGCAGAAATAATCAACAAAGCCCTGGAGCAGGCCAGCTAGACCTAAATATGTGTGTGCGTCTGTTTGGTGTGTGTGAGTGCTGTGGGGTTTTCTGGCTGAATGCCAAGCCCAGCTCCAGCTCCCCAGGAGAGAGATCAAAGACTGTGCTCCTTCTCTCCCTCACTCTCCCTCTTTCTCTGTGTCTTTATCTACTTCTCTCACTCATATTTCTCACACTCCTTCCTTGCTCTCTTGAAAACAATCGTTATGGCTTTTCTTGATTTTTCTGACGTTCTCTCTTTTTTTCCTGAGGGCAGAGAAGGGGAAGAGAACAGTTTTCTATGCAAAACAGAAGAGAAAAGACAAGAAAGAGTGATAAAAAACAAGCACTGAAAATAAGTGGTAATAGAAGGAAAATAGAAACTGTGGGTTGCAGTGATGTTCAGACACAAAACTCTACTGACCTGAGCTTCAAAGCCCCCTTGTTGCCAGGTTGTCATGGGAGCAATTGTTCTGGCAGGTGAGTGTGTGTGTGTGAGGGAGAGAGAAAGAGAGAGAGAGAGAGGGGAAAAAGGAGGTCCATAGGCTACTGCTCTTATTTACCTTTACACCAAGCAAAGCTCATAACAACACTAAGATTTCAGACACACACACACTCCAGATTGAATTAGTCAATCAGAAAACACTCCGAACATCTGCTGTTTCAAATTAAAAGCTCCTCTGTGACCGAACACACAAATCGTGGAAAAATCCATTCCCTCATCTCTTTTTTGAAGTCGGACTTCCGAGTTGGAAAGTCAAGAGTAACCGCATCAACCCTGACCTCAAAATCCAAGATGGCTGCTCTCTGTATCAACAGAGGTGAAATCCGTACAAACGCAGTTTATTAGCACTTCTCTCTTATTTGTCATACACTTGTGCATTGTCATTGCTACAGTTAATACAATAGCTATAACATTAACCTACATGGTTGCTGCTCAAGCAACAAACATATTATATTACAAAATAATAAAACATATCATACAGTATATGATGTGACATTCAAAAAGTACACCATACATCCCCCGTTTATCTTTCAACACCAAAGCAAACTAACACATACTAAACCTAAAATGCAGTTTATTCCATTTAACTGTAGATACTGAAACATCTGATTCAAAATGCATTTTCACTTCCCTCAAATATGTGACAACTGCTGCTGCAGAATGCCTCCTGAAACACATTATAGAAATAGATTATATCAGCACAGCATCCTCTGTCTCCTCTCTCTTCCATGATGGTCACAGGCGCCATCACGGCTCTCGAACACTCTCTTGGTTATTGTTGGCTCTACTTTGTTACTGATGTGGGATTTGAAGCTCATTTACACCCCGTGTACGTTGTTGTGCATAACCACATTGGCTAGATGTCACAAAATGTAAATGTAATTGTGGGGATAATGTTATTTTCCTATTGAGACTCACTGAACGCTGCAACAGCGCAAGTCAAGCCCAGCGCTGTTTGTCATTAAGCCAACTCACAGAGGCTCCTTCACAAACAACAACTAAACTTCCACTCTTTTTTTTTTTCCTTCTAGTCATCTTTTCATGCCTGTGGCAGATTGGTCATATATTCTCCTCTGTTTTCTACCATTCACAGCATTATGCAAATAAGCAACTTAATCCCACTCCCACAATCCCAATCAGCCCCTCTGACTCCTTCCCATCTTTTCCTCTCTACTCTCTTCCTGCTTTTCCTCATTACTCTTCTTTCCTCTTGCCTCTTTAGCTCTGTCATTCTGCTCTCGCTTTCTCTGCATCCCCTTTTCTCCCATGCTCCCCATCTCTCCTCTTTCTCTCCCCACCATCTTTTTTTCCCACCCTCTCGTTTTCCTTCCCTCTCCGTCGTGTTTTTGTCCCTCACACTCTCTCTCTCTCCTCTCTCTCTCTCTCTCTCTAGCAGTAGTCATTCTACTTATAGCCTTGCCATAAATCAACCTGTCATTCTCCGTCATGCTCGCTGGATCTCACTGGGGCTCGTGGCAGATACACACACACACACACACACACACACACACACGGTAAGGGATAGTGACGTGAGCCCACACATATACAAGCTCAAATACAAGCACAGACACACAAATAGTGGCAAGTGTAGGGACTCAAACATGCACATACAGATGCAAAAACACGAACACACACATACACTACAGATGTATAGACTGTACTGATAAAAATGGAGACAACACACAAATACCCAGGCAAACACAGTTTTTGTACTCTTACAGCTACACACACACAAAGACACACAAGATTGATTGAGCTAGAGGATGATTGAATGAGGGAAACAGAGATGTAAGCAAATATAACAGGGCGACACCCACCTGTCCCTGTACCACACACACGCATGCACACACAGCAGCTGAAATAATGTCCCCAGCTTTAACAGCCATCTCCTTAACTTCTTTTCCTCTTTCAGTCATCTTTTAACTTTGTCTCGACCACAAATAATTTACTGTAGTGTAAAATTAGACATTAACATCATTAATGTCGTTATGGGGAGAGAAGGGAGGGCAGTGTCAGTCATTCCACCATCATTCTCTCTGGGAACTGGTGACATCATTGGCTCATGAATGACGCTGTATGTGGCGCCATAGATTCTTCCAGCCAAGGTCTGAAGTTTTCATCCACTATCCCTCGTGGATGGGTGGATGTCTTAGGCCAACGCTGTCAGCTGGAGGACAACCTGCTGTCATGGGAGCAGCGGGCTCCGGCGTTGGCTTGGCCTCATGCCAACCTGAGCCAAGTCAAGCAGCTCTGGGAGGAGGACAGCTTGGCTCGTAGTTGGCCAAGCCTTGCAACCGTCTTGACAGTTTGCCAGGGCGACTGCAGTGGGAGGCAGCACGTTGTCAATCTCTCTTGTTGAGTTGCCATAGGAAGTTTACAGACTTGAATTCGCTTGACTTAAAGTGATCCAACTGTGAGTTAGTCAGTGTATGACCACAGCCTCAGTCCTTCACTAACCTTACCAAGTATCTTACACACAACCACACATGGGTCACAAGACGTCAGCCCCCTGTGTGTAAACCTTTTGTCACATTTCCTGTGGTGAAATTATTGGCTCCATCATCTCGTGAACCTTCATGAAGCAATTCAATACAGTTCCACCAGGTGCACTCCCTCCACATTGT